GAGGCTGGAAGCTGGAGGCCGAAAGGCTGGAGGCCGAAAGGCTGGAGGCTGGAGGTCCACATCTGGCTGTCTGTTCCCACAGGGGGCAGGTGGTGCTGGGCTACAACGAGGTGGAGATCAGCATGAAGGGATCCGGATACATGTTCATCCACGCCGCCGACATGATGCACTGCGCCGAGAACCACACGCGCAGTGAGTCAAATATTGTGTGAAGAAACCCCAAAATCTTCCCTTAAAAAATACCAAAAATGTGTACAATATGGTAATGAACTGCTAAATTCTATCAATAGAAACATAAAAATATTTGAATGTTCCCTCCAGTGATCAAAACTGGGGAAACTGGAATCACCATCTTCAGGCTGCTGTCCAAAAGCGGCCGCTGGATCTGGGTCCAGTCCAACGCCCGCATGGTGCTGAAGGCGGGAAAACCGGACTTCATCGTGGCCCGGCAGAGGGCGCTAACGTAAGTCTGCCGACGGCGTGCTAACTGTGGCGTCCTAATGGCAGCTGCTAACGGCGGCGTGCTAACGGCTGCTGCTGACGGCGGCGTCCTGCCGGTGGCGTGCTAACGGCGTGCTAACTGTGGCGTGCTAACTGCGTGCTAACTGCGTGCTAACGGCGTGCTAACGGCGTGCTAACGGCTCTGCAGGAACGAGGAGGGCGAGGAGCAGCTGCGTCTGCGGCGGCTGCAGCTGCCCTTCAGCCTGACCACCGGAGAGGGAGTTCTGTACGACACGCTGCCCAGCCTGCAGCCCGACCCGCCCCGGGGCCAGAACCAGAACCAGATCCAGAACCCCCTGCTGGGCCCGGACCAGAACCAGAACCAGCTGCTGGGCCTGGACCAGAACCCCCTGCTGGGCCAGGACCAGAACCAGAACCAGTTGCTGGGACTGGACCTCCTGCTGAGTCCGGGCCAGGACCAGAACCCCCTGCTGGGACAGAACCAGAACCCCCTGCTGGACCCGAACCCCCTGCTGGACCAGAACCCCCTTCTGGGCCCGGACCAGAACCAGAACCCCCTGCTGGGCCCGGACCAGATCAGCCAGAACTCCCTGCTGGGCTGCCTGCTGAGCCAGGACCAGTCTCTGTACAGCCAGGACGCCGCGGCGCTCAGCTCTCTGAGCGACGCCGCCTTCCAGGACTCTCACGCCACGCTCAGCATCCCGGGGGACGCCGCGGGCAACGGGGGCCCCGCCCGCGCGGACGCCGCCCTGCAGGAGGTCATGTCCACGCTGCAGGACATCCTGGAGGACGGCGAGCTGATGGGCGCGCTGGAGGTGGCTCCGGAGGAGCTGAAGGGCTGGGAGAGCGCCCTGCTGCGTCTGAGCGGCGAGGCGGGCGCCGACCCGGGGGACGTGCTGTCCTACTTCGAGGAGCAGCTGCAGCTGGACGTCCCCGTGGAGGCGTGGCCGGCGCCGGCGCCGCCCGCCCCGAACGGCGCCCCGGTGATGGCGCCGCCGCTCAGCCACCTGGACTTCCCCCCGGTGGCCGTGGCGCCGCAGCCGAACGCCGTGATCCCGTTGGCTCCGCCCCGCCGCCCTCAGAACCAGCTCGCCGCCGCGTTCCTAATGCCCGACCATAACGGGCCGCCGCACGCCGCCCCGCCGCCGCACGTCGCCGCGGCGACCCTCCAGGGGCGGCGGCCAAACCCGGCCTTCAGCCAGTGGAACGGCGCCGGCCAGAACATTTCAAACGGTTTCCACGCCGACGCGGCGGCGCCCGGCCTCTTCACGCCGGCGCTCCACGAGCCGCCGTGGCCGCAGCGCCGCCCGCACACCGCCGATGACGTCATCGGCCGGGCGCCGCTCAGGGCGCCGCACGCCGCCACGCCGCCGTCCTGCTTCTACCAGGCGGCGCCCGCCGGGGGGGCTAATGGCGGCGAGGCGGCGCTGTCCTGCCAGATGGCCGCCGGACTGGCGCCCAACGGCCGGACGGGGGCGCCACAGGCTCTGGGCTTCAGGAAACAGATGCAGGTAAAACCTGGACCTGGACCTGGTCATGGACCTGGTCCTGGTCCTGGTCCTGGTCCTTGTCCTGGTCCTGGTCCTGGTCCTGGTCCTGGACCTAGACCTAGACCTAGACTTAGATCTGGTCCTGGTCCTGGCCCTGGATCTGGTCTTGGACCTGGACTTGGTTCTGGACCTAGACCTGGACCTGGTCCTGGTTCTGGGTCCCCAGAACCAGAACCCCAGGCTTCTATCTGTCTTTTCTCCCCTTTTGTGGTCGTTTAGTTTCCTTTAAGGTTGTTTTATAATTTATACATTATCGTTCATATATGAATTACTCATGATATTAATTAGATTATATATTAAATATGTAATTCATCATAATTTAATTACAAAAATATTACATTAATAATTCATTCATAAATAAATTGGTATTGTCATTAGATGTCATTAGATAATTAATTAAATAGATATATGATATATATTACTATTATTATTATCGCCCTAATGGGAGAAAAGCATCCTTTGATTATCCAAAGCTGCTTGTTGTTAACTTTCCATGTGTCCAACTCAGGGTAAGTTATTTTTCTTCTTTGTGGATCCCTTTAACCCAAACCAAACCCTCAGAGCGGCCTTTGTCTCCACAGATCAGCAGCCTGGGCGGCGCCGGCTTCCCGTTCCCGCTGCTGCCCAACGGCTCCTGCTTCTCCGACAGCAAATGACCGGAAACGGCGTGTAACGGAGGCCAGCGGCCCAGCGGAGGAGCAGCAGGAACGAGTCTGTTCGGCTCTCTAACAGAAACTGTGATGGGTGCTTCAGAAGTCCAGGTTTGGCCACAGAGCTCCGGCCTCTCACGTCAAAACGACGCCATCTTTGAGCTACAGATCTTTACCCGCTTCGCATTCAGGAGCCTTCAAGCGATTGAATTTGTCCCAGTGGTATGAAATTCAGAATTAATTCACCATTTTTGCCCTTTTAAGAGCTAAATTTTGAACCGATTCATCAAATCAGATCCATTTGGAGTCTCTGTAACTGGTTACTCATTACTGCCCCCCTGTGGCCGGAGGACCGAATTACACAGAGAGAAAATCTGGTATTCAGGTAAAATTGGGCGTTTTTGTTGGATTAAAATCTCTTCTTATCTCTGCCGGTGGTGGCACACACAAAACGCTTTATCTGAAAACCCTCCTGAACTGTGAGGGTCCACAGTGTCCAAAAATCAGAGAGAAATCTGGCAAAAAGTCAGTTTTTGCTACAAGAAAATCCGACTCTGAATGAATTAAAGCTGTACGGAGGGCCTTCACTGTCATTATCAAAAATGAATAAATAAAAGATCATAACAGATTTATGAACAGCCAAACTATCCAAATGTGATAGTAAAATACAATCAAATTCATGCTTAGAATAACTGATTATGTGAAATAAATGACATTCATCTTGATTTCGCTGCTTTAAAACCCAAGAGAAGCAAAAAGAAAACATTTAAATAATCAAGCCTGGGGAAATAGTTTTTAATTAAATGTAATTTATTCATTTCTTTTTATCAACAAAAATACATCAGTGCAGTTAAAAAGAAAATTTTAAAGAAATAAATCCAGGAATAACTAATTCAAAGCGAAATTGAACTTATAGATTGTAAACTTAGTGCATATATTATGTATCATTTATTTCGCATAGCCTTCAGTTATTTTTTTAGGATTTATTCTGTTATCTATTCCAGTGGAATCTGAACCCTGTGCAGCCCTTTATCCGCGGTGGTTTGTTTTTGTGTGGCAGCTTCGGTCCTCCAGACGCAGCAGCAGAGGCGTTTAGGGCAGCTCCTAGTGGCCGTCAGAGGTATTGCACTTTAACAGCTCCTCAGAGACTCTGACATTCATTCACAGATGAGTTTGGACAGTTGTTTCCTGTTCCGAAGGCCCAGAAGGATTTAACTCCTTTAGGCTGCTGTTTTTGTCCTTCGCAAAGTTCATTTCAACGTCTTTTCTGTCTCCGAGGAGCCAGATTTGCTCCCCCGACAGGAACAAAAGGACTTTTTTAAAGAATTGAAACGCACAACAGGGTGACCGAGAGTCACGGAGCAACTTAGAGTGAAAACGGCTGCTTGTTTGTAGAGTTTAAAGCTTTGTCACTGAGCCAGTTTTACTCCTTCTTTCCTCTCTTTTCTGTCTCTTTGCTTTCTTGTTGTGAAGGGGAAATCCAGACGGTGCCTTAAAGCGACATTTAAAGGGACATGCGATGTTCCTCGTTCGACCAAAGCTTCACCAGCCCGTCTTAAACGGCGCAAAGCCAAAGCCGACGCTTTATCTGACAACAAACCAGCACAGAGAAGATTTAAGCACTTAGCTTTTAAAAGCCTCCTTTATGCTCTGAGCAGAACAGATTTACTGGAAATGTTTAAACGAGCAGAACTCGTGTTTTCCTCAATTAAAATATTTGTAAATTTTTAATGATGACTGAATCTGGATTAAACTAGATTTATTTGAACAAGTCATCTGGATTAAACCTAATTTAAATGGATGTTTAGTGTAACTTTCCCCTCAGCAGAACCTTAAGAGGAGAGTAGTCATCTTTGGGCCTTTTCGTTTACACACATTTAGATTCAGTCCAATCTGAGCCATGAAGTTAGATTTCTTCTCCATTTCTGCAACTTTTCCTCTCACAGGGTAAAGAATCTTCTGCTGATTTTAGACACAAAACACTTGAATAACTGGGTTTTAAACCAAAAGTCCTCACAAAAAAAGACATTTTTTACGATACCAAAGGGATGACAGGCAAATCAAACCACAGTTTGTGTTCTGTTCGCTTTTTGCACAGATTTGATGGAATTTAAGCCAAAATTGTGACTTTCTAAAGCAGCTAAAGGAGCCTAAAACGTGTCCTGTGTACAAACGGCTCAATCCAGAGTTCCCGGACTGACTGCGCCTCATCTCCACAAAGTTTAGACTCACATCACAACCAGTTTTCTCATTGACTAATAAAAAGCCAAATCTGACTGTATTTTTGGGCCCCGAATCGTGTTGTTTTGTTTCCTTTTGCTTTAAGAAGTCAAATATCGCAAAAACACTCTCCTTTAAGAGTGTTTTTGTGATGCCATTTGACCAGTTCTTATTTGGGAGAGAACTCTGGGAAATGTAGTGAACTGAATGAGGACCTCCACCTGGTGTGAATTCAGCCAAAGGAGTAAAACAATTCCCAGAGTTTCTCCTCCTCTTTCTGAGCAGGGATGGACTAAAACACGGTAAAAAGCAAAAAGCTCCTCAGCTGGATGGAAACAAAGCAGAAGCTCTGGAGGCGGCCTTCGTTCCCTCTCTCTCAGTGCCTTTTCTCACAAAGTATTCTTTGTATAGAGATATAAATATACCTTTTTGCTTACTTCTACATTGAGAAAAAGCCTTTTTAATTATTTTACCTATAACCAGAGGAAGCCATGGCTCCGAAATGCAGTATCTTTGTGTAATTGTGTATGTACATTTATATATATTCAGCTTTATTTCCCCTAAAATATGTATTGTTTAATATTGTGTACTTCAGTCTTGTATTGCCTTAAAATGACTCACATTGCTGTCAATTTGTACAGTTTTCATTGCACGGTGAACATGTAACCTCTTGTCATGATGTATTTTTGATAACTTGTGGATTTGCCCTCAACACTCTGACTCTGAGTCTGTATCTGAGTGTCGGAGTCGGTCTGGACATGCACCTCCTATTAAAGGTGATGTGATCACTGCATCCGGCTCAATGTTTTCACTCAACCACAAACATTTATCACAGATTCTCCTCTCATTTATTTTAAGCTCACACCTAGTTAGGGGATATTAAACAGAAAGAGTGTGTTTGTTTGTGAATCGTGAGGACTGACGGCAGTGTTTGTGTTGCAGTTTGGCTGGACGTGCTGCTCACTGGTGTCCACTAGATGGCAGCCTAACGCAGTGGCAGGAGGCAGGTCAGTCAGCCACAGGCAGCAGGGCTCCAGCAGAGCCAAAGGAAAGTTATTATCAGGAAAGGTTAGTACATCTGAAGCCTAGCAACAAGAAAAACAGGGAAGATGTAGAGAACCATCAATGATAGGAAAACTTTTACTGTGAATTCCTGCAGATTTCCTCTGAAAGTGACCAGATTCAGACATATATGAAGCATTTTTTACTGTTAGTTTGTGAAAACAACAAGAATGAATATACAGAGAGACACAGAATTTCATTCATCACTTTAGAAAAAACTAAAACTGAATCGAATTAATTAATCTAACGCGTGTTAGAAATGCTTATTCGGTGCATTTTAATATCAACCTGTGAAAGAAACCCTCCGTCTCCAATAACTTAAACAGTTTCTAAAATCTGAATTATTATCATTTCTTTCTTTTTTTACTTTAATTTTTGTGATCGAAAGCATCAACGTTTCAGAGGAGCCTTTTATGCTACCTGCACGGCAGGTAGTGAATTCTTAGGTAAAACACAACTTATGGGCAGATTAACAGCTCAGAACAGCTTTATGAGCAATTCTGGCTGATTAAAACTCAAATCTGTATCTTATTACAAGCGTCTGTTCGCTCATGTAAACTGTATCTTTGTTAGCTAGGCTGTCCCTATTAACTGTAGACTCTTTATTAAAACGTCTGCATGAAGTAAAACTGGTCCATTTCCATTTGTATTTATTTATCTGACCTTTTGTGGCAGATATTTCTGACTAGCATTTCATGCTAATGTAGCTACACTTTCCTTTTTAATTTTATTTAAAGGTAAAACTCAGTTTTGGTTGATAATCAGTTCTGATCCACTGTGTAAACTGATTAAAAAGTCAGACTACTGGCCACATCTGCCCTTTGAACTGAGGCTAGGGGCTGACCTTTGCTTCCCTCACTGCTCTGACGTCACCTTTGACCCGCTGCGCGCTCCCGAGGTGCAGCCAGAGCTCCGTCAGCGCGGGAGCGCGCAGCGGGTCAGAGCCAGGAGCTGCAGAGCTGCAGAGGAGCGGAGGAGAGGAGGAGCGGTCCCGGCCTGGTCCCGTGTTTCTGCGTGGGGAGTGGACCGGACCGAACCGGACCGGACCGGACTGGACTCTGCTTTGCTGGACCGGACTCTGCTTTGCTGGACCGGGCTTTTCCCCCGGTGTTCCCGGCCCTTTATCCCGGTGTTCCCGGCCGTGCGGCTGCGCACCGGCGGTCCGGGGCCCGTCTGGACGCAGTTCCCCGTCACACAGCAGATGATCCCGGTGCCGCCAGTCCTCCGGATCCGGGTCGAGGCTCCACCGGGCTCCAGCCCCCACCACCCCCCCCCCCCTCCCCCCCCCCCCCCCCCCCCGACCCCCCGGCCCACTGAGCCCCATCATGTTCGCCGGACGCAAGCGCAGGAAGCCGGCCCAGAAGGGGTAAGACGCTCCGTCCCACCAGCCTCCGACTCTAAATCTGGAGGCGTAAGACGTATTAGTTACTCTGCGAGTCCCCCGGTTCAGGAGGGTTTGTAAACACCGGATTAACGGGCTGGGAGAGGCGCCCCCTGCCGGCCGGGCCGCTAATCCCCAAAGGCCTCTAAAGGGGCTCATTTTGGGTGTTTTTGCACACATTTGTGTCACTTTTCTGCATCCCGGTCGTCAGATTGTGTCTCTGTGGGGGATGCTGTATTTTTCTGTATTTTTGTTTGTTTTTCATCTGTTTGTTGTGCTTTGGCTCATTTAGTTTGTTTTGCTTTTCCATTTATTACCATCTTCTTAATGATACTTCTCTATAAATGTGTCTTTTTGGGGTCATTTGTAAACTCCTCTCTTGATTCTGTTTCTTTTGTGTCTATTTGTGATGGCTTTGCTTCTCTTTGGATAATTTAGACTGTTGTGTGGCCCCTTCTTTTCTCCTCTTTGGACATATTTCATGTCTTTATGGTTCATTTGCATCTTTTCTGCTTCAGTAATCAGTGTCTTTTTTTGATAACGTCCTTGACTTCCTCCCTGGAAACATCCGTGTTGTGTCCTGAATCCTGACGTTTCCACTCGTTTTCTTTAAGTTCTGGTCATTAATTGGAGCCAGGAAGCTGCCTCTGGCCTGTTCTCAGGTGATCTGTGAGGTCACGGTGTGATTGGTCCTGACTCCCCAGGGTGAAAGCGGCTCCGGCTGAGGGCGCCAAGTCCAACCCGTCCAAACGCCACCGCGAGCGTCTGAACGGCGAGCTGCAGCGGCTGGCCGGGCTGCTGCCCTTCCCCGAGGACGTGGTGTCCAGCCTGGACAAGCTGTCCATCCTCCGGCTCAGCGTCAGCTACCTGCGGACCAAGAGCTTCTTCTCAGGTGGGAGGGGCCACGAGGGGGTCAAAGGTCAACCTCTCTGTCCCCGCCTCCCTCAGAGGGGAGGCAGAGCTGTGTCTGTCTCTGAGGGGGGGGGGGCTGCTGTCTCTGTACTAGGGTTGTCAAAAGTATTGATACTAAAATGTTGTATCCGGATACGATACTCATTTTCAAAAGTATCGATACCACCGCCCCTTCTCTCTGATTTATTTATTTATTTACGTTGTTTATGATCATTAACAAGACGTTAGCCTTGCTAGCTGTGGCTAATGGCTAATAATAACATGCTACCATTAATCAAGTACATATCCAACTCCGCCCACAACCAAGTCGGCCATTTTGATTACATCACCAATGAGGGCCGCAGCGTAGCCTAATGGCTAGAGCGGGCGGCCCATATGCGGAGCCTCCGCTTACAAGCGGGCGTCCTGGGTTCGAATCTGGCCCACGGCCCTTTCCCGCAGGTCTCCCCCTCTCTATCTCTGCCCCCTTTCCTGTCAAGCTACTGTCGTTAAAGGCCACTAGGGCCAACAAAATCTTTAAAAAAATAAATAATAATAATTAAAAAAAAATAGTGAAATGAATCTTCCAAACACTGAATTAAACTCTATCCATAATATTATTTTAAAATAGTGGATGTTAAATAGGTTTGTACAATAAGTCCAAACAAGTTTAACCAAAAAATATTTATTTCTCACAATTATGAAGGGTGGAGGGTTAGGGTTAGGATTAGGGCCATTAATGTGGGCCACCAGTCACGATAACATCAGTAACAGGTCAGTTTGAAATGAAAGACACAATTCAGTTAAATTTGGGGGTCTTTGTTTTTACCCTTGTGGTATTGAAAATGGTATCGAGTATCGAGTATTTTCCTGAGTATCGGTATGGAGTTGAAAATGTTAGTATCGTGACAGCCCTACTCTGTACCTGGAGGGGGGGCTGTCTCTGTGTCTGGGCCGTCTTCTGGGACGGCGGCAGGCAAAAAAAGCTCCAACCTTTTCCGGCTCCATCAGGAGGGTTTGCAGCCGTCTCAGATCTCCTTGTGGTCCCTCCTGTCCCCAGGACACTGCTCCGGGACTGGCTCATCCCTTGAGTTAGAGCACCATTCTCTCACAGCTAATTGGGTGAATGAAGGAATTAAACGGGAGGTGCGCCGGCTGTTTGGCGTCCCTCCGTGGGGTCTCTCCTCCAGATGAGGCTGGTTCTGGTTTATTCATGCTGCCGGGATGTTCTTAGTGGATGTTTGGCCACACGGCTGTTCAGGCTCTCAATTATTGATGGTGGACATGAGTGTTTCTGCTCCGAGTCACAGCTTTGGTCCAAACACTCTGCTGATTTGAGGCACGTCTCCCACCGTCGTCATGGAAACGTCAGCTCAGCTGCCCAATAGAGTCCCGGTTTGTGGGTTTTTGGAGCTTCATGTTGAGTCTCAGGGTCTCGACTTGCTCTGAGAGCTCTCAGACAGCTTCAGTCTGCAGGTTTCCAGCAGATCTGGGCTGAGGACCCGAGTTCTGGTGATCCGGTTGGGCTTTCTGACACAAGAACCAGCAGAAATCTGCAGCAGATGTGCAGATTTCACAGATTCTGATGCTGAGTCCCGTCGGCTGCATGCGTTTATGGCTTCTTTCGGGGGTTTTAGGGCAAAACTGACCAAAAAAAAGACCACAAAAGAAGGCCTGAAAGAGAGAAATAAGGATGCTGCAGACAGAGAAATCCTGACAGGCATCTTTCCTCCAGCTTCCTGTGAATTTCCTCTGATTTGACTACATATAAGGATCGGATCGGCCGCCAATATTTGCAAAAAAATGCAGAAGAAAATACAGATCCAGACTCCAGATCCAGTTTTTTATTTAAAGTCCGATCCCACACGAGCATTAGCATTAGCATTAGCATCTGTAACCCACAGCTCTGTGTCCTAACCATTAAGTTGTTTTCAGAGTAAATGCCTGTTCAACAACTGATAACTAAGTAAGTAGATAAATAACTTTAAACTTTAATAAATGCTCTGATAGGCCGGGATCTGGATCGGATGGGAACTACAGAAAGCTGGATCGGGACGTCCCTACTGGCGTGTAATCCTGCTGCTTTCTGCCTCCTCAGTAACGCTGAGGAACCAGCCGCCCGGGTTCCCCAGCAGAGGCGGCGGCCATGACGGCGGCAGCCATGACGACGGCGGCCATGACGGCGGCGTGCCGGAGGGCGAGCTGCTGCTGCAGGTGGGTCATCACAGCCCTCAGATCCATCAGACCCAGATCCTTCAGATCCTTCAGATCCTTCAGATCCTTCAGACCCAGATCCATCAGATCCAGATCCTTCAGACCCAGATCCTTCAGACCCAGATCCTTCAGACCCAGATCCTTCAGATCCTTCAGATCCTTCAGATCCCTCAGATCCCTCAGATCCCTCAGACCCCTCAGACCCAGATCCTTCAGACCCAGATCCCCCAGATCCCTCAGATCCTTCAGATCCCCCAGATCCTTCAGATCCCTCAGATCCCCCAGATCCCTCAGATCCCTCAGATCCTTCAGATCCAGATCCTTCAGATCCATCAGATCCCTCAGATCCTTCCCTTTGCTGTGGGCGGCCATGTTGGATCCTGGGGACAGCCGAAGGCCCCCTTACCCCGGAGGCCCGGGTCCAGTCGCTCTGGGGGGGTCTGCTTCACGCCTCCAGCTCAGATGGCTGCAGAACGATGGACTCCTCTTTCTGATGTCTTTCCTCCGCTCTTTCCAGCCTCCCCGGTCCCTCAGACACATCAATAATACAGAGCCCCTCCTTTATGGGGGGGTGGGGGCTGCTGGGTCTCAGCAAAGCCGTCCTGTTTCCAGCCAGTCGCGTTTTATTTCTGCTTTTTAAGGTCAAATCTGTAATCTGGAGCTAATCCAGCTCATGGATTCTGGACTTTGTTTTCATTTTTTCCTCTTTTTCTCTTCATTGTGACCCATTTGATTGTTTTTTATGAGCAGAAACAGACTCATATTTGCCTTTTCTCCCTGAAACCTGAAAACAAATGTAATGTGTTGTTTCCTGGTCCTATAAATTAGTTCCCCAAGGGATTCCTTGACAGAGAGACGGCAAAGAAGTTGTTTTCGTTTAGGCTTTTCAGCATTTTGCTGCGTTTTTCAGCATTTTTTATAAGCATTTTCAGCATTTGTCATAATTTTCTACAGTTTTTCAGCATTTTCCAGCTGTTTTTCAGCATTTTTTTGCAATTTTGTTTAGCATTTATCAGCATTTTTCAGTTTTTAATTTTTTTTTAAAGCATTTTCAGTGATTTTCAGCGTTTTTCTGCATTTTTCCGGCTCAGCGAGCCTCGGCTGTCGGTTTCTTCCTGTTCCTCACAGCTTTTTATCAAACGACAGGGCAAAAACAGGCAAGTGGGCCTCTCTCTGAGAGCTGTCCTCAGATCTCTGGATTCCTCCAGACGGCTGAGATGGAAGTGAGGAAGCAGTGCATTAGCACATGTGTCTGCCCACATTAACGCGGCTCCTCCTGGTCAGGAGGTGTAGCAGCTCTGTGTCATCACCCCCCCCCCCCCCCCCCACACACACACACACACACACCCACACACACACACACACACACACACCAGAGGAGCCGGAGCCGTGATGGAGGTGTGAGCTTCCAGCTCTGACCTCCTTCCTCCCCTCGTCTCCCTCTCTCCGCCTGGAGGCTCGGCCCTGTTGTTTAGTTTGTCTCCCTCCTTCGTTCATTTGCTCCATTTCCTGGCGGGCTGCTTTTACAGCTCATTGTCGCCTCGGAAGCCCGACTTTCCTGCCATCGGCTGAGTGAAAAGGCCTCAGACGAGAGCAGGACGAGCGTTTGTGTTCATCCACTGGTTCCCAGAAACATTCATCCATTTCTTCATGGACATTTTTGGCTCATTTTTAACTCATTTTCAGTCCAGTTGTTTGGTTTGTTTGGCCACATATGAATCATTCAGGCAGAGACAAGGCCCCTAACTCAAGGGATGAGCCAGCGTTGCTCAGTAGAGCAGCAGTTTAAAATGGATCTTTGGGCTCTTTGTGAGCAGCAGCCTGTTTCCTGTTTTCCTGCCTGTTTTCCTGCCTGTTCTCCTGCCAGTTTTCCTGTTTTCCTGCCTGTTTTCCAGCCTTTTCTCCTTCCGGTTTTCCTGCCTCTTTTTCCTTCCGGTTTTCCGTCCGGTTTTCATGTTTTCCTTCCTGTTCTCCTGCCGGTTTTCCTGTTTTCCTGCCTGTTTTCCAGCCTGTTCTCCTTCCGGTTTTCCTGCCTGTTTTCCTTACGGTTTTCCGTCCGGTTTTCCTGTTTTCCGCACGGTTTTCCTGTTTTCCTGCTAGTTTTCCTGCCGTTTTCCTACTGGTTTTCCTGCCTGTTTTCCTGTTTCCCTGCTGGTTTCCCTGCTGGTTTTCCTGTTTCCCTGCTGGTTTTCCTGCCTGTTTTTCCTGTTTTGGCTGTGGCGGCTCTCTGACCGGCCCTCTCTCCTCAGGCTCTGCACGGCTTCGTGTTGGTGGTGACGGCCGGGGGAACTGTCTTCTTCTGCTCTCACACCATCCAGGAATACCTCGGCTTCCATCAGGTATTCAGCCTTCCTGTTTTCCCTCTGTGACCTCTGACCCCAGAGAGGAAAAGCCACCCAAAGCTCAGCCTAGGCTGGTTCCCTCCACTGTCTCAGCACAGAAACTCAGCTCTCCGTGTCTTTGGGGGCTTCGGACTAACCATGAGGACTTCACACTGAGTAGGTTTTCCTTTCAGGGACTCAAACGGGGCCAAACTAGCGGTTTGAGCTCTGAGCAGCAGCTTTAATCCAATTAGAGCCACAACCGAGCTCGACGTCCTGCAGTTTAATCCCATTTTAGAGAATGTGCTGGTGAATTTAGCCCCAGTCCAACGGACAGGCCGAGCCCCGCCCCAGGCAGACAAAACCGAACCGAACATTAGCACCAAAAAATGAAACTAATGTTGAGTTTCTGCTCATCAGTCATCAGTTTGCAGCCTTTTAACGCTATTTTTTTTGCTAGTTTCTGTGACATCTGCTGGAACAGACTCATTTAGGGGAAACCAGAGCTGGTTCTG